TTTTTGGATTTTTTTCGTTTTTTCTGAATTTTTATCCCTTTTTCTTTAACGAAATTTAACGGACAGCTGATAAAAATTAACGAACCGGATTTAACGGACCGGATGGCACCCTTGAATGGCCACTTCTAATAGCATACTGAGCTGAACAGTACTGTAGCATGGCTTGACAGCTGTGTACCTTGGTGTACTTGACTCATAGTGAAGCCTGTCACTCTACCTGTCAACGTGGCCATTGTCCATAATGACTAGGCCAAAGCAATAGTGGTTAATTAGTCACACAACGTGCTGAGAAATAATATTACTGCCTGTACCAAATCGGTTAATGCTTGCACCAAATCACGTGAACACTACGTACTAACCTCAGTTTTTGGGTTAGGTTTAGGGTGAGTTTGGGGGTTAGGGTTAGGTCTAGGGCAGGTTAGATTTAGGGTTTAGGGTTGAGGTTTTAGGCTAGGTAAGTTTTGGATGGGAGTTGGTGCAAGCAGTCACCGATTTGGTGTAGCCAGCAACTGTATGCGCCGCGCTGCGGTGCCAAGGCGTGGCCTGGGCCCCAGCTGCAAGTGAAGCAGGGCCCCGCTTGCAGGCTCCGGAAGGGGCGCGGCGCCATGGCGCGGAGGCGAGTGACCATGGTGGTGGAGCCCTCGGGCGTGGCGGTCATCACGATCGACCATCCGCCTATGAACGTGTTGCATCCGCAAGGTGAGCGCGGCCTCCGGCAATGGCCGCCGGCAATAAAGGCACACCTCCGCAAGAATCAGCTGGGCCTTTAACAGGCGGTCGTGAATATTTGAAGCTACGGATGAGCCGGAGCCTGCATTCTCTCCCTTCGTTGTTGGTTTGCTGCCTGCCTGACTTCCAACCAATGGGTTCACTTCGTCTGGAGGGCTTGCGAATTGGTGTCCAACTGCGTCAATTATCTTCGTGAGTATCTGTCGTCTGGCCGCCAGCGAAACGATCGGCGCCCGTGGCGATGGTCGCGGCTGGGCATCTGTCTTTTGCCCCTCGCGCGAGTCGGACGAGGGACACACAATTGGATGCGTCGCGAATGGATCTGATCCTCAGCGCTGGCCGGAGGCCCCGCGGATCGATCCGCACCCACTGCCCATCGTTTTCTTGGGGCCGTGAACCTCATCCACCCCCTCAACGGCCCCCCTGAGTGCGTGTTGTCTCGCTCTTCGCGGTGCTCGTGTTGCGTGCTGTACTTGTTGCACTGAAGACTCTCCTGAAAAGCGTCTCAAGCCGAAATGCTTAGGACGGTGTGCCCTTTACATGACCCGTTCCTCTTCTCGTTGCAACAGATCTTAGCCCCGACCCACCCCCTGGCTTCTAAAGAGCCTTGCGTGCACTTGCTTAGGAGGGGGTGCCCTTTGTATGACCTCCTTCTTTTTCTCTTCGCAACAAATCTTGCCCCCTGGCTTCTGTGACATGTTTCTTTCCCTCTTTGTAACAAATCCCGTCCCTGGACTTCTTGTACGCAGTGCTGTGGGCGCTGTTCAGCCTCCTGAAGACCGCCCAGGACGATCCTGCCGTCAAGGCAGTCGTCCTGACCGGTGCCAACGGCCTCTTCACCGCCGGCTTCGACGTCAACCAATTCCAAACCCCGGATCCCGGCGAGATCACCGCCATGGTAGTTTCGGGTTGGGCGCCACAGGCATTCCGACAGACCATGGAGGCGGGTCCCAAGCCGATAGTGATCGCGATCGATGGCCTGTGCCTGGGCGGCGGGCTGGAAATCGCGGTGGCGTGCGCCGGGCGGGTGTGCTCGCCGAGGTCCAGGCTGGGCCTGCCGGAGCTGGCCATCGGGATCATACCCGGCATGGGTGGCACGCAGAGATTGCCTCGATTGGTTGGTGTGAGGAAGGGTGTGGAGATGATGCTGCATTCACAGCAGGTGGGTAGGTGAGTTTTGTAACAAGAGCGAAACAAACACGGATCAAAGAGCACCCTCTCCTGAGCAAATGTATGCGAGGCTCTTTTCCGTGCTGTGAGCAGGTGGGAGGGGAGGAGGCTGGGAGGATCGGATTGGTCGATGAGGTGGTGGAGGGGGGGCAGGTGGTGGGGGCGGCCAAGAGGATGGCGCTGGAGATCGCAGCCGGGCGGCGGGCAAGGCTGGAGACGGTGCTGAGGACAGACAGGCTGGAGCCGCTGGGGAAGGCCATGGTCGCTGTGAAGGAGGCGAGGGCGCGGGTGGCAGGGGGCCACGTGAGGCACCCGGAGCTGTGCCTGGATGCCATCATTGCAGGTGTGGAGCAGGGAGGGATGGCGGGCCTCTTGAAGGTGGGTTCGCCTCGGGTGGATCACCCAGGCAGTGTGTTGTTCTTTTGTTGTTGTTGCGGTTCAGTTTCTGTGTGGACCCGCCCTGCTTCTCGGCAAGGACAGGTATGGTGTCTGCATCACTCACGGCTGCGCCTCCCCTGAAAACGACCAATCTGGCGCAGATGTCAGTTGCAACGGCGAGCAACAAACCAATTGTCAATAGGATGACGGCAAGACTGGACTGGATGGAATGAGTGACCATAGGGGTTGGAATGGAAGGTGGCCTTGGGCTGTTCGCGCATCCAGGGTTTTATTCATTTTTCCATGCCACACTGCATGCTCCTCCCCCTGCACTCATCGAAATGGCTGCTCAGGGTGGTGGTGCACATTGCATGACTAGTTTCCTGTCGATCGAAAGCACTGCTCGAATTTGTGTCAACAGGAGAAGGAGCTTTTCGACTTGAGCCTTACCCTCGACACACACAAGGCCCTGGTCCATATGTTCTTTGCACAACGTGACACCAAGAGGGTGAAGGGGGTGACAGATGTCGGATTGGTTCCAAGGCAGATGAGGAAGGTTGCTGTTGTGGGTGGTGGGTTCATGGGCTCGGGCATATGCGCTGCACTGCTGCTGGCAGGGATCGAGGTTCTGTTGAAAGAAATCGACCAACATTGTCTTGAGGTGAGCAGTGTGGACATTATCTACACAGCGATCAACTCCACAATGCAGTTTCTGCTTGTGCAGGGGATCCTTGGCAGAAGTGCATGTCTTGACCAACTCCAAGACTGTAGTGCAAGCAAGTTAATGTTCAGCAAGGCTGGCCGACATATCGCTCCAGCCATGAGCTTTGCATTAGCAGAGCACAATCCCCAGCCTTGGATTTTGTGCTGTTGTAAAGCAAAGCAGCCTTGTGCCATGTTTCTATTTTGAATCTGCAGATGAGCAACCACATTAATTCGTCCACAAAATTCGGATATCATGTGTCGGGGTGTGCAATCCTGATGCCAAAGGACACTGTGACTTCACAATGACATTCCGGTGCATCTTCATTTGCTAGAGTGGCTGGCCTTTGCACAGGCTCATCTTTTTGTCCGTCATCGGCGTGCTCTGTGACAACCTGACTTTGATGACACTGCTGAGCAGTGTGCTCTCGTGTGAAACCCAGAGCAAGACTGGCTGGTGTGGAAAGCCTCAGGGAGCAGCTGACTACGTCCATTACATGATGATAACCTTGGACAGGAGATTCACAAAGATGTTGACATGGGCCAAATTTTTTGCAACCTTGGTGGTGATGCCTGTCAAGTGATCTGCCAGGGCCCATGAAAGTGTATTGTGATACTTGGGACCGATACATGCCACAAAATAGTCGTTGGAAGAATGCATGTCTTCCATTCTTCCTTTGTTTTAATCGGAGATCAGGTGAAAAACTATCCAATCTGAAGAAGGGCAGGCTTGTTGCAAGGCGTTGTAACAAGGTGTTGCAAAAGCCCACAAGAGCATGAAGTTCAGGAGTTCGAATGAGAAATTCAGGACTCCAGGGCCCACCTAAGTATATGTCTGCACATGTGGCATTGTTCCACATTCCATTCATAGAGTTGGTAGAATAACTGACACCAGCATTCAGCTACGAACCGATAGATAACTTGCTTTGATAATTGGCCATTCAACTTCCAGTTCCATTCCAAAGTACACCACCATCTGCACTTTCATCATAAAAGTGATAACAACCACCGACTGCTGATTATCTGTTGCAGGCTGGCCTTGGCCGAATTAGAGCCAACCTCCAGGGCATGGTGAAGAAGGGCAAGCTGAAGCAACTGCAGGCTGAGCAGTTGATGGCCCATGTGACAGGCACACTAGACTACAACACTTTTGGCTCTGTGGACATGGTCATCGAAGCTGCATTAGAGAACGTGGTGCTCAAGCAGAAGATCTTTGCTGACTTGGAGATGGCATGTCGGCCAGACTGCATCTTGGCCACAAACACATCTGCAATCGACATAGACTTGGTGGGCAGAGACACGCAGGCACAGGACAGGATTATTGGTGCACATTTCTTTAGCCCAGCGCACCTGATGCCCCTGTTGGAGATTGTGCGTGGGCAGCGGACGTCCAAGCAGGTGCGCATATGGCGATGGGTGTGGGTAGCAGTGTACAACAAGTGTTTGTCTATGAGCTGGAATCGTAGTTTCGTATGCTGCTGCTTTGCGCATTGTGTGAATGGGCAGGCGTTGGAATTGACTGTTTGGATTTGGGATCTATTCTTCAACTCTTAGAATTGGGCTGACAGTGCATTTCATGCTGAAGTTGCAAACATCGTTTGTGACGCTGAGTTGTTCACATCCATATTTCAAAGGCAATTTCAAATTGGCTGTTTCTTGTCCTATTTGTCACAACAGGGTTGAATTGCATCCTCCAAACCAGAAGGCGATACAAAACAATTTTTGCATTTGTAGTGTGACATTGCCGAACATTGCTTTTGATCATATGTTCCAACGCATATTGGTGTGCATCGCATAGTTGTATGCCACATAGGGGAAGAACATGGTCACAAAGTATGGACCACAACATGCAATGTGCCCTGCAGTGCCAAGCCAGTACCCATGCCCCAGGTTCCTCTCATCAGCTACTTGAAAGGTGTGCTTCCTCAAGGGGCTCCATGGGTTGTCACTTTGATAGTTGTAGCTCCGATGGAAGGACATTTGAATTATGGATTAGCTGAAACTGGGAAAGAATGACAATTGAATGAGCTGTGGCCCATCATATCTACAGGTGGTTGTAGACACCCTGTCGCTCTCACAGCAGATCAAGAAGACACCTATTGTGGTTGGCAATTGCACGGGATTTGCTGTGAACCGCGTGTATTTCCCTTACTACACAAGTGCCTGCTTCCTTCTGGACATGGGCTTGAGCCCGTACCAAATCGACAAGGCGCTGTCAGAGACTTTTGGAATGCCCTTTGGGCCCTTCAGGTGTGATTTGAGGCGTGTGAATAAAAGATGCACTTGCAATTTGGGATGAGTGAACACTGTCGACCAAGTCGATTTTGTGTTGACCGTACTGAAGTGGGGAACCTGTGCCCCCAAGCTTTGTCAGCAGCCAAATTTCTTGAGATTGGAAATGAAAATTGAGCCAGTACATAGTGTGCTGCATGGACAAGCAGTGTATGGTCGGTATGGCTCACTGCAGAACTTGTCATACCTGAAACCCTGTTACACAGCACCCTTGTCCAAATTTTGCACATTGGATCCATGCAGCTATGTTGCTCTTGGCTGCCCTTCTCTTATTGGCAAACTTCTTTGCTGGGTCTCTGCCATTTTGAGCAGCAAAAGATTGAATGGAAGAACCATAAAAGCACAGATCAGTGTCATAGAAGAAGTGGTGCTGTGCGTTTTCCTTGCGCCTTGTAAACAGCAATTAATCAACAACTTTCTCCAAGTTCCAAGACACACAATCATTGAGTAGATTTCTTTTGCAATACAAACGATGGCACTGGCACTTAGTGGGATTCCATAGCAGATGCGATTGCTGCAGATTGTTACAGCAGGGTCACACTTGTGGCAAACCCTTTAAAACGATGGCTATTGGACTTTTCATTTCCCCAGAAAATAATCAGCAGATTATTGGACACAAATAGCATGGCACAAGCAGAATCAACATCTGTTGGTAGCCGATCTTGGCAGGGCAAAGCCTTTGCACTCAGCAGGCATTTATGGATTCAAAATAGGCTTGAAATGACCTGCAGGAATGAGACTGTGATCTGTGGCGTGTTTGAGATTGAGCAAGCACTCCAACACCATGTGTAGGTTAATGGACTTTAATGGTGCCGACGTCGGCCTGAATGTCAGCAAGCACATGGCTGGGGCCTTTGCTGACAGGATGATCACATCTAACCTGTTTCCACTGCTCAACAAGGCGGGCCGGCTGGGTGTGAAGACAGGGAAGGGCTTCTATAAGGTGGATGGCGATCAAAACAGGCGATGCTGCAGGATGAGACAAGCTATTGATGATTATTGCTGACAGTATGAACACGTAATTCATGGCTAGTTCCTTTGGTCAGTGTACAGATGAAAGTGATCCATCCGCATCTGCCATGCAATGTCAGGTACCAGACACAAGCAGCAAACTGGGTCTCCAGGGATCCAATGTTGAACTTGGATTTGAGGCAAGAGAACAGGCAGATGTGCAGGGTTGGGCTGATGTTGGGCTGCTCAGCCACAAGGGACGTCCGTTAGAGATCTGGTCTGCCTGTTGTGGCAGCCCTGACATCATTGCTGTAGTTTGAGAGATTTGTGTAGGCACACCTGACAAGCAGTCTGCAATGTGTAGACATCGGGATGCAAGACAATTCTGGTGGTCTGCTCTCATTCAGCTGCAGTGTATGCAGGCGAAGCCTCACCACAAATCCAGTGGCTTCAGCTCAAAGTCATTGTCTGACGTTTTCAAGGCATTGGATAGGGCTTATGAGTACATGTTGTCCTATTCCAAAATTTGCAATGGTGCTGCCAAAAGTTAGGTCCTTTGTGATGCCCATTTCCCAGATCTGGCAGATTTCTTCCATGGAACATGCATCTGTGGCTTGCAATTGAGAATACTTTCCAAGCTTCCTTTTGTGCCTGTAGGCTAGTGCTGTTGAGTTCTAAACAGCTACCACTCTGGATCAGCATAATGTGGGTAGCAAACAGCTGCAAGTTTGCAACTCCATTTGAATCTGTTTTGCCTGAGTCTCATGGTTGCTGCTCTTCAGATTAGCAAGGGTTACAAGTCGCCTCCTGATCCAGAAGCCGCAAGCATCATTGAGCAGTCCCGGCGAGCTGCAGGCTACCTGAGGCCAGGAGACAAACCGCCCAAACTCACTGATCAGGACATCATTGAAATGATCTACTTCCCCGTAGTCAATGAGGTGGGAATGAACACAAGATTGCACAAGGAAAGCGAACAGCACATGCAGCAGCTTGGTGGCACGTGCGTCGATAGTCAGTGATTTCCATTGAAAAGGGACTGCGTTGAATAATGGCCGCTTTGCCCTGACCAAGACATCTGGGAGTCCCGCTGTTCCCCACTGTGAACCCCAACTTGGGAGTATCCCAGTCCTGTAGAAGAGAACGCAACATGAAGTAGAGCGCGTTTGACAGCATATGCACTCAGGGCCCGTCTTTGGTGATGCTGATTTGCACATGGCAACACACAATGTGGGTGCTTGTGCTTGCAGCCCAGATTCTCTCAGCTCTTCCATTTACTAAATTTGCTACCTGCTAAACTAGTGATTCGAAGTCTGCATAGTTTGCATTGTCCCACTGATGATTCGTCTCTTCCCTTGCACCTGCCAGACGATGTCAAGATCAAGCGGAAACAGCCGTTGGCAACAACTTGCAGAGCATGCTTTTGTTGTTTGTTTTTGTTGTTGCTGTTATTTTTGTTTTTGTTGTTCAGCAATGTAGCCCAGCGATTCGCTGTTTGTAGCTGACACGGGGAGTGGTCCCTGGGCCATTAAGTGACGGCAAAGTATTGTTCGTCCCTAGAAAAAGCATGTGCCAATCTTGCCGGTAGATGATAGAAGTAATGAAGAAACCCAAACTCACAGAGGCGCTGAATTGCAGCATGGCTCTCAAATGGGAAGTGAAGGTTTGTGGCCACGGTCTTTCGTTGTCCACTGTTTCAGTTGTTCAAGGACTTATCCTGTGACAGAAATGGAACAAAGTCCGAGTCTGTAAACCAATTCCGTGACACCAATCCCACTTGCCATCGTGCCACTAGGATTCTCGCACTGCTTACTTCCTAACACTTTGGACATTGTTCTGCACAATGTGCCCAAAAAGTGTGTGAGCTAGCGTGCGCCCACCAGATTACTTGAGGTCTATGTTTGCCGCTGCTCACAGCCATACTACGATTTATTGTAACCATGTTACCGATAACATGATATATACGTCACCTTGTGGTATACAGAATTTGATATGCAGGAATCTTTGGCGGCCTTCAGCCATGGACTCCCGGTCTCGACGAGATGTCTATGTAGCATCCATCCACCCCAACACTGAGCCGCAATGGGAATGTCGTCAGCACCCAATAGCTCAACCAGCTCTGACCAACTCAGCCTTTCTGGCACCTACTGTGCTTTAACCCCTTGAACAAGCCACGAGAAACTGGGTTTTCAGCCAAAGGACTTGGCACGTGCCGCCACTTGTTTCCGTTATTATCGATTCCAAAACATCACATTACATTTCAACTTCGCCAGGGTTGTCGTGTCATCGCTGAGGGCATCGTGGACAAGCCCTCGGACTTGGACGTGGCCTCCGTCATGGGCATGGCCTTCCCGCGCTACCGAGGCGGCCTCATCTTCTGGGCCGACCTGCTGGGCGCCAAGCACGTGTGCTCGCGCCTGGACGAGTTTGCGAACCGGTTCAGACCAGCGGAGGGCTTCTTCCGGCCATGCGCGTACTTGAGGGACTGCGCGGCCTCGGGCCGGAAACTGGGGGCCGGCACGGGGGCTCGATCGCGGCTGTAGGCGGACTGTGGAAGACAGATGCTCACTGAGAGGCTGTGGACAAGGGTGGGTGATTGGAGACGGCTGTGGATGGCAGAAGATGGCGGAGGCACGCCCCTCCACCAACTGTGCAGTTGGTTTGCACAGTCGTGTGCAGTAGTTGGTAATTCTTTTTGCAAAATGACGCAGGCGAGGTGTGCCATCAGCACCGACAGGAGCGGATAGACAAGTAGCGTAATGTTGGCGCGTGTGAGGTGTTTTGCTCATCGAATGGATGGCGGCGAGCGTGTTTGCGTGAAGCGCTGGACAGTTGTGTGTCGCCCTTATTTAATTCTTGAGGTCTCCAGACGCGGTGCTGTTGGAGGGCTGCCCGTTTTGTTGGTCGGTCTTTGCTTCTTAACCGCTCATCGTCATACTTGTGGGCGTGTGTATGGCAGGCAATACGACCCGTGATGGCCATCGCCGAAATTGGCCTGTCGCGACAGCGGTCCCATCCAGTACATTGCTATGCTATTGCAAGTTGCGAGGCCCTCAGGTTCTATCGTGTTCAAGCGTGGAAAGAACCTGTCGTTGGCATGCCACGCGCTAAACCTTCAGCTAATGGTTTTCGATTTCAGTTTATCGGCAAATCTGTGTGATGTCCTCTGCACGTTGTGGCCCATTGCTTTTGCCACTGAAGAATGGAATGTTTGCAAATGTATACGGCAAAACCCTCAGTACGTGGCCTGCCGCCAAGTAGCGAAATTCCATGACATTCGTGACCATCATGACTTCATGTCCGGGAATGCAGGGCATCGGACATTTGTGGCCGTGCCAGCGACGTCGCTGCTATCCTTCGCCAAACCTCTCGCTGGCGTTAGCACTCCGTGGTGGGCATGATAGTGGATAAGTCTCAAGCACCGTACATGCTTGCCTGCATGGCTTGGAGGCCTGAAGCTAGTCAACTCTGCAGTAAGCAGCCCATCAACCGACGACGTCGTCGACAGCTTCGCCTGAAGCTTTACGCACAGATTCTTTGCGGACATGCACGCAATGGTTCCATTTGCTCAATTGACGCGACCTGAAGCTGCCCTTGGCCATGTGTGCAGTCAGCAGATGGCCATGGCGATTTCGCAGTGGTGGTCGCAGGCCAAAGCAGTTTTGCGATGTGGCTAAGGGATGACCTTCCTTCCCAGAGTCTCAGACACACCGATTCACTCAAGGGCGCAAATTCTGGAGCTGGTCCACCCCGGCTTCAACACAGCCCTGAGGAAATACTGTTGAGCTTCGCCTCCCCAGCACATCACACCGCAAAGACACAATCTCAAATCCGTATTGAAAACTATAGATGAATCCAAGTCTCTCCAAGTCAGCACACCCAGGCTACCTGCGTGATGTCACAAAGCACAACACCTGCAGGTACCTGATGGGCACCTCCTCCCCGAATATCAGAGGACTTAGTGCCCTCCACGACACGGGCAGCAGACTGTTCGAACACCACAAATTCCCTCCACCATTTTGAACCACCCTTAAGAACGGAACTGGAGCTCATCAGCAACGGCACAATTCTTGTGTGCGCTGCACTCTCCTCTCGTGGTACCCTTTGCCAGGCAGATCAAAGACAGCATCACTTTGCAGCACATCCACCACACGCCCCTGGATTGTAAGCGAGTGACCCTGAAATCGCGATGCCGGCGCCATCTTGCCGATAGCACCGGTGCTGCAGCTGTGACACAACTGCGACATATGGCAGTTGAGAAGTGCAGCAGGCCGAAGGCAGAGCTCGCCCATCAGCCTCGCCAACCCTCCACTTGGATTGGAATGGAGCATGCTGCCATCCCTCCTGTGAAGGCATGTGGGTAGACTTGCAGGAGTTGGGCCCCACACAGGAACATTGCCAACCCTTCAACGACTTTGAAACCAAGCAAAAGGGCGTGTCGCACACCACCTGCAGAAACTGCCAATCGGCACACACTGCCTATTCCGCATACTCTTCATGATCGTCAACTTCGCTGTACATGTTCTCCTCTTCTTCGGCGAGAATTCCCCTAATGCGCTCCACCTGGAAAGTAGAAACAGGCAGATGTCAGCCGTGTCTGTCCCCATGTTGAAGTCAAAATCCTGCAGCACTGACTCACTGCTTTGCACAAATCGAGATGGTGGCCAGCACAATTCCATACAAGGAGTGTATCCCAACTACCCTGCCCAATTAGCACACACCTACACATACATGTGTATGCATGCATACCCAATGTATCCAGCAGTTCCAACAACACACTGTAACACACAGTGGGGAATAGGGCACATGCTTGCAGGGAAAAGTCCTGCCCCCAGATGTATTCATGTCACTCTTTTCGACGCTGCAGTCGTCCTCATGCACAACAAAGCACCACGAGTACATCTGGAAGGCTGGGGAAGGTGATTCGCGCCAACAAGCTTTCCTAGCGATTAAGGCAGCAGTCATTTCAGCAATTTCAGCAGGGCCCTCCCGTTCAGGATGCTACTCAATACGATGGCAAACAGAGCCTGGTCAATGGTCGGTGATCAGATTGGGAACACTTGGTGCACAAACACAGAGTCATCAACCACAGTAACGGACACCATTTTTCTTTCACCAATTCATACGAGCAGATAATACCAGATGCAACATGGATTCTTCGAGGCCAAATGTGGCAAGGAACACTCAATGGAGACCAAATCTGATATGCCAAATGGTCCTCAATTGCTTCAATTTCTTGGCTCAAATTCAACCAAGCCCGCCAATGGTAAGAGAGCAAGTGCAATGCTTCTGCAAGGACAAATACCAAAGCGCTGAAAGTAGACTTGCACTCTGATTCGCCAACAAAGCATGCTGTCAGCATAGTGCTGAGGGCCAATTGGGCATTCAATCTCACACCCCAAACACTGTAGAGGTCGCTGTCTTGCAATTGCAAGTGCCTAGTTCTATTCAGGGGCGAAAACCAACGATGAGTTCAGCAAGATTGCCACCGTCTGGCACCCAAAAATCAAAAATGTGCAAGGATGCAAACTTGGCACCGTGCTCACACCCCACCTGCTCCTCTGCATGCTCATAAACATATTGTCTGTCTTTCACCATGTCACCAGGCTCCTGCTCCAGTGCAGCTGTGCTACAAGAGATGCGAGAGAAGTCCTCCTCGAGCCCAAGGATTACCGCACAAACCCGGTCGCCAACTTCGAAGACATCCTGCGGTGAAAGATGCCACATTTCTCACCCGCTAATGCTTGGGTTTTCGCATCCACCATATACTCCGTTGACTGTGATTTCGTTGACACTAATTATTAAAAAATTGGTCCCATCACAGCCTTGCAGCTGTCAGGTCAAAGTTTGAGATGGTTTGTGAAATGCACCCGACTGGACAGTCTCTCATCAGCCTTTCTCGAATATAAGCATGGCACGACTTCCGCTCTTCCACAACTTCTAGTGTGACCAGGCTTAACCTTTCATTCCCTCACATTTTCCATTGGGCCATAGATAACAATAACCATTCACAGCGTTGCTGCATACCCTACAAGCACTGAATCCACGAAAATGGATAGGATTTAAAACACTGTGAAACAGTGGAATTGAGCTGCATAAAAGTAGCAGTGCGCAATTGAGGCAGCCAAATCAATGAATACAATGGGTGATGGCCATGCAGTGGTGGTTCATGGAATCAAATTCTGAGTTGTGATGCAAGGGTCCTTACCGACACTCTTGAGAATCTGCCCTTAGAGATATTGGACTTGTGGATCAGAGCACTCTCCTGTGTTCCATCGACACCGATGAATGCTCCCCAGTCAAGAACCTGTAGCCAACCAACAAACAAAAAATCAATACAAGTACAAATGCGAAACCTGCACCAACAAACAAGCCGCAGCTCCCTTCAGCAGCACAGAGCACAATTGCAGATGTGGGCATGTTCAAAAGTCATGTGATGGACATAACATGGTCAGAGGCACCAACTCCAGCACGATCTGGAACCAATGTGCACTTGGACAAGGAGGATACTGGGACCTCCTGGACGCTGAAGTTGTGCATTGACACTAGCTAGACTAGCTGGACCTGGCTATACTCCCAAGACAGCCACCAACTGGCGGACCCAGGATCGTCGTGCCCCTGGAATATCCACAGCTATCTCATCATCATGATCCAAGATCTACTGCAGTGTACTGAATTGAAGCAGATCTTGATATCACAGCAGCTTTGTGAGCAAATGCCACTGCCAGCTGTGGTGCGATGGCCAAAATAATGGCTTCTGGCCACTAGACCCAGCTTCCATGCCAGCACTACTGTACATTTTCCAATCGGCAGCTCACGTTTCATCAATGGAGACAAAATCTGGCAACGGCATCTGTGACATGCTCTTGCACCCTGTGTAGGGTCTCGCATAGCTGGACAAACTGTTCCTTTGTGTCCAGAAAGTCAGCCTGTCCGTGTCTGCCAGCCTCAACGTTGTGCACCACTATGTCTACAAGAGTTTGAAGAACTAAGACTACAGAGCAACCTATCAAGATTGCAGATTTGTGCTACTCTTGCTGCTGACCACAGTCAACGGCCATGGAATCTCCACTCATCGTCTCTCAGGTGCAAGTGGCAAATTTCTCAACAACTGCAGCCAGCATATTCGTGGCAGTGCTGTGGTGTATGATACACTTTCGTATTGTAATGCAATGGTTGGCTTTCGTTGCAAAGCAATACTAAGCTACAGCATTGCCAAGAAAATGCGGAGCAGCAGATGCACTGACTAGCTAGTCAGTCTCTACAGGTCGAGTCCCTATGGGGCAGCAAGATGGGATTAGATTGCAGGATGGCAGGCAGGGTGGGCGAATTGGCAGAGTGCCAGGGATCGATCTGTGGCGAGTGCATCGTTGTGTGGACGGGACTTGTTGTGCTTGGTGCCCCAGCTACGATGCGAAGGTCTTTGGAGTGCTCCTGGCGTCTAGCGGCCCAGGTGCATGGGCCCTGTGGCTGAAAACTAGCATTTGTGGCCATTTTGAACTGAACAAAGTCACCATTCCAGCTGTGACCATGAATCGGACCCCCCCACAATAATTGTCTGTCAGAAACAGGTAGCAAAATTCGCAACACTGATATTTCAAAATCCACAATGGTATAATATACTACAGCATCTTCACCTGCATGCCTTATGTCGTTGGTGACCAAAACTGCCTAGTTGCCCCCCTATGGCTTGACTGCACTCTACCCTGTGGTGTGTGAGGCATATGTTATGCAATATAAGGTGTTAGACCAATCATTGAAAGCAAGCAAGCATGCAAGAGTGCAAAATCCCTCTCCCGTACGCACCCTCCTCACAGTTCCCCACACAAGGGCACCAGGCCTCAACTTCCTGAGACTGCTGAACTGCTCAGCACGCCTATTCGACAGCAACACTCTGTCCTCGACTGGGTCCACCTGAAGGACTGCAACCTCAAGTTCTTTGCCCCTGTATTTCTGCAAGAACTCCTGCACAGCATACAACAAAGCACACCATCGAACAATCACTGTAATGCACTGCCCATTGTCGTTGTAACAAATCTACACACACCAATAGAATTGTAACAATTGGGGGTACATGCTGTGTAACGAATCTTGCGCGCAAGGAGTACGCACAACTTCGCTGCTACATACCTTGCGGCAGTGCTTCTCAAGAAAGCAGCTGGCTGCAAGTTGGCCACCACAGGTGAAATCGGCCAAGCAGGGCCACTTGCACATAGTGGGATGCATTACAAACTCCCAATGTTAGGTGCATCTTTTCGTAAGTTGAAGCAGAGTTGCTGAGACCACCCCAAAAGAGTGGATGTATTAACAAGCACTGCCTGATATGTTAAATTCTATGTAGTTTGTAACAATACAGCTTAGCTTATAAAGCGGTACAGTATTAGCTTCCTGAAGACTAAAATACACTCTTGCAATCCCCTGAGGGATTTCCTGGCCAAGAAGATGAGGGCTTGATGACAAGCTGTCTAACCAGCACAGGCAATGTCAATTCGTCAACTCACATCGCAGTCTGGACTTGGCTGTGCCACACCATCCGAACAGTGTCAGATGTCCCATTTCTCTGAAACATGATTGCTTGATGCCCAAGTGCAGCACCTGTTATTGCCCCCACAACTAATCCACCAATCCACTTGACAACACATTTGCAACCGCATCGCACAATCCCAATCCCACAGTGCGCAGCTGGCAGTACTTGAGGCGTCATGTTCGGCTTTGTGGCTGAAGCACCGCAGTCTAGCATTGTTGATTGAGGGAGGTCAGGGCACACATCCATTCCCCAGCCATTTGTGTAAACAACCACCACCACATTCCACACAAGTTTTGTCTGTGCTTAAACGGTGATGGATCGGCAAAATTGTGCACTGATACAATAGGCTGAGTTTTGACAGCCAGTGTGGGTAGTCTTAACAGTGTTCACGGCCACCACAATCACCAGAACTGCACGCGCTCGCACCTCCTGTGACATGTTCTTGATCTCATCGTCCACTATGTGGCTCTTGGGTATGAAACATGCCCTGCCAGCCAGCAATACCTTAAGGCCTCCTTTGTTAACAGAAAACACTTGGGTCGTCCAAACCTCACGATCCTGCAAAGGTAAACAGAATTTCAGCCAAAGAAACTATAGCCTCAGAACCATGTAAACATTTTGTTGTCTGCTCCAACTGAGAGGCCAGTTTGCTGCATGAGCATAGCTGCCTGTTTCTCACCATGAGTCATACAGTCAATAAACATGCACTGTAGTATATCACAGTCACAGGAGCAACAGAAACTGTTGTTTCTCACCATGAATACTGTATGCAGCACATGACAGCTAACATGCGCCTTTTAAGACTGCAAGCACATGAACAGCTTCTGCTCTTGAGATTATGTACAGCTGGCCACAAACTGTCACAGTGACTGAAAACTCTGTGCGGGCTGCGTGGCAACAGCTAAACAAGTTGAAGGGCTAGAGCAGATGGGTGGTACACCCTATCCGAGCTTTACTCTTGACCTCCATTTCAGAGGTGCCAGCCCAGCCACTGACAGCTCTTTCATCCACACAAAACATCCAATTGCACATGAGCGAATGAGTACATCCAATATAGCAGCCTGGTCACTGGCCACTTACTAAGATCAGATCCATGGACAGCATCAGCTTTATCGCAGCCTACAAGGACCCCACAGTGCTTGAATATAGTTGTCAAGCGAATTCTAGGAACACTTTATTTGGCTTTCCTGAAGCCTGGCACAGCCTCGAGTGCCAGGGGGTGTCCTGTCCATTGTTTGAGTGCCCTGAATGCGAAGTGTACCATCGAATCGATGCCCAAAGAACAGCAAAGGTAAATGCAACCAAAATGAGGCAGCCAGCTGGTTCATGGGCATGTCTGAGGTAGTCTTTCTCCTGCTATTGTTGGTGGCACAAAAGGCATCAATGCACCTCTTGGCAGACATCGTAGATCTGCAGCATCCGGTCCATCATCAGCTTCCTGTCCAGTTCCCTTGCACTCAGCAGCGGTCCACGCTTGCCGGGGATTATTCTATCAGGAACATCTATGATCTGCCAGTGCACCACACCAAAAACAACTTTGGAGCAATGTCAATCCACATCCATTCAGCACAAGTTGCCAAAAAGCCAAAGACAAGCAGCAAGCGACTCACAGCAGCAAGAAGTCACGAAGTCCCTGGTGCCAGGTGAAAACATTGCAGTGGCCAAACGTACACCTGTCGCATAATCCAGCTGGTACTGGAGAACCACACTAGTAACATACTCACAGGCTCTGTACAACCCAGTCTAAACAAACATATTGGTGTGAACAACATTAACAGCATGATCCTTCTACACTAAGTCTCTGAGCCCAGATATGGCAGAGTCTCTGCTGTGAATGGTGAAACACAGAAGCAAAAGGCCAATACTGCAGCAAGCTGAAAATTTCAAGCTACTCGATTGGCGCAGTGGACTGCATAACCCATTCCACAACTGCCCTGCCTATTCACAGGCTTGAAGCCAAGCAACTTTCAAAGCCAATCAGCTGTGGGTCGAGAGTGTGCAGCCTGACTATCTAGCCTGGAAGGGAGGCTAGCACATCATCGGACAATCACCTGATATTCCCGGATATATCCTATCAGCAGAGACTTGGGTGTCTGGTGGAAGGATTGGCCAGACGATTTAAGCAGTCGATAAGGATAATCCCGTCGTGAAACAAACCTGCATGCACATGAAAGTATGTGGCTAAGGCCCAAGTCGCAACCCTCCAAGCCACACCACACCATTGTTACCCAAGTTGGGCCATCGCCACAGGGCTGAACTGGTGCACCTATTGCGGTTACATTCATAACACAACACCAGGCAAAAACTTGCACTTGACAGGGCAACGTTTCAACTAGCATTTCTTACATTTGCTGAACACCTATCTGAGATAACCCTTCACCACACTGGCAGTGTTGGGGGCCAAAAGCAACAAAAAGATTACACTCAAATCAGTCAAATCAGTGACTGTTTCCATGATCCTCAATAACCACAATGAGCTGCCCATCCATCCATGCTATCACGTTGGGCACACAGCACCATCACAAACCCAGCCCCCATTCAGCCCATGTCTTCTTCACCATGACAACGCTAAACACAAAGGCAGAATGCACTTTGTGCAGAGGCTAGGCGGTACAAGCCAAAACAGGCCTCAACATCATATTTCAACTTGCTACCAATCAAGTGACAATTTCCACATCCTGGAAAAGCAGAGACTTATGCTTCGGTAAACATGAATCATGATAAACAATTGCCACCTTCTGCAGCATGCTTGACACACACATATGGGCACACATGCGACACTTCTGACTTTCGTTTTGTGACACTGACTTGCCGGGATAAATATACAGGAATCACTTGGAAACGCTGACAGCATGCACGCGTTGTATTTAGAAGCAGACACCTTGTAGTTGTATCACTGGGTACACACAAGCTTGTACATTCGTCACATTGGCAGGCAATTATGTACTGTTTCTGCTTCTGGACTTTGGGGAACGCACATTGCCTGTTATGTCCCTTGGCTATAAGTGAATTGCACTGCCAGGAAGGCAGATACCCCAGGTTTGGCCTTCTTGGTCTGGCAATTGAAATCTTTCTCGAACCCAACCCCCATTCCGTCAGAGTTTGCACAATGGGCCAAGAGGCAGCGCACTGGCGCACTTTCTCCCACAGCCACGGTTTCTCCATGGCCCCCCGGTTGAGCCCACCTTCCACCAAGCACACCAATCCAATTCCACATCGCACCCGTCACAGCACACAAACACACCCCAGCTCCGAAAAGCCAATCCAACAAACCCCGAACGAAATCAAAGCAGCGACAACAAGAACAGATCGTTCTTTTCAGAGCGTCCAAAGCGCCGTCCGGCGCCGCACATCCTAGGTGCCTTTTGTGGCACTTGTGTTGTGTGCTCCTCCTGTTGCACTGGAGCTTCTTCATCAGGGCATTCTACATCACAGCATGGGAGTGGGTCTCGCATACGCCTGCCCAGGAGGGGCCCCCCTTAGTCTGACCCATTTCTCTGCAACGAATCTTACCCCTGGTGCCCCTCGTGATCCAGCAGCTCGACCTTGGCCCCCCGCTCGTTGCACCACAGCGTCCGGCCAACCACGATGTCGCCCTTCTTGTACGGCGCGTCCGCCGCGTCGATCCCCTCCGGCTCTCCCGACGCGCTGGGCGCATCATCGCTGCCGGCGCTCGATGCCTCCTCGGCGTCATTCCCTTCCCCATCCGCTGTCGAGGTCGTTCCGTTCTCGCCGGACGGCTCCGCAGAGCCGAGGGGAATGGCACCCACCTCGATGGGCTCCGGGTCCTGCAGGGCCTCCGCGCTGCCTGAGGACCCACACCGCCGTGAGCGCGCAGTTCGGCGGCGAAAACTGCGCCAACTAGCGGGCCAATTAGCGGGCCAATTAGCGGGGGGCAGCCCGCAAAGAGACAGCCACTAACAGTGATCAAGTTCCAGATGGGGCACGCGAGCAGCATTGGCAAGCCGGTGTGGCGGCAGCCTTGCCAACCATCGCCGTGCTCCAAGGCGATTTCGGGCTATCCGGGTGCAGTGGGAGCCACGCGCTACGAAACAATCATCAGCGACGCGCGAGAGCAGCGCCGACAATTGTCGCGCGGTATCCTCGCGCGCCTCTCCACCAAGCAGCCGCCATCCCTAGCGGGGCAGATCGCCGCAAACCGCGCCGCTCGATCGCCACATCGACTCGCGCATCCCGACCTGCCACGGCGGCCGCCCCGGCGGTCTCCCCGGCCGCCGCATCGTCCACGGCGCTCGCGGGCATGGCCACGCGACAAGTCGTCAGCCTGTGCGCTAGCACGTCTATGGCCCCGTCCACCAGCGACCCGCGCCGCATCGCCCGGTGGGCCGCGGATCGGCATGACCAGCAGCGTGGCGCCCGGTGGGGCATTGATGGCTCGCGCGGGGCGGCGGAGTTCATTGCGACGGCGTCGATCGCGCCGCGCAGCGCCTGCAATCCAGGATTCATGTTTCGGGCGGGGGGGGCGGTGGAGGGGCGCTCGGGCGCCGGGGACGTGGTGTCGACCGCGAAGGCTGAGGCCGGGAGCAGAGGGGAGGCGACCTGGGGTTCCGTGTGCGCCAGGTGAGGTTTCCTCCAGCCCAGGGGATCGTGCTGCTGAAGCTGGAGTACCTAAGTATGGCAGTACTTTGAAACAGTACTTTAGCTAGTACGACCTTATAGTATGTCAGTGCTTTGGGTAAATTTCTAGTATTTAAAGCACCGCAGTACTTTAGAGAATAGTACCTGAAGCAGGGGGGCCCAAGCGTTCCTGACAGGAGCCAAACCCTGAGAGAGCACAGGCGCAATCACAATGTCCGCGATAACGCTGAGTAATGGGCAATTTCATTGGCAGCTAAAAATCGATGTTCCACTGACTGTTGAGGCAGCAGATGGGCAGCAGACAGAAAGGAATGCTTCAGAGGAACTTCAAAATACGCATTTTGAGTTGGCTCACGGAAAATAGATGCGCATTTCAAAGATGCGCGAATAGATGCGCATGTCCCTAGATGTGCATGTCAAAGCCGTCCCAATGCCGTTTCTCTTTCCTTTTAACAGGGTACCTTCTGTTCAGAGCATCTTTATCGGTCGGGGCTATTGCACCGGCGGAGCTATACAGGAACGGTTCTCATTGGCTGCCGTGCCACCTTACTAAGGCGGCATTTGCCGAATAGCACCGGTGCTATTGCTCCCCTGCACGCATCCGCAATGGTGGGTGCTATGGGTTTTAAAATAGCGCCGCTCGGCGCCGAATAGCTCCGGGGGTGCTATTGGGGTGCTATTGCTCCCCAACCGTTAATGATGATTTTTTGACGTGCGGTGCTATTCGGATAGCCGAATAGCTCCGCCGGGACAATAGCACCCACCGATAGAGATGCTCTCACTTCCTTTCGGCAGACCAAGTTCTAATCTTTGGTTCCAAAGTAAAAACAAAGCATTTTGGAGGAAATCGGGGCGTGTACCTCTGTCCATTCGCGTGATGCCTTCCCTGATGTGTGGTGCCCATGGCTGGTTCCTCTGTGCACTCCGCTTGAGCGCCATCCCGTCGGCCGCTGCTCCGCGACCCGGCGGGCCAGTCCAATGGCAATCACCGCGGGACGTCCGTGTGGAGCGCCCGCGCTTCGCGCCTCGGTCTCTCGCACCACCAGGTGACTCGACCCACCCTTCCCTCCTCTCCCCTTCCAAATGGCGCCAAGCCCAAATCTTAACCCCCCATCGGCATGTCCCGCCAGGCATCCAAGTTGATTCGCTTCGATCTCTTTCGCTGGCTCTTGCGGTTCGTCTGATCGATGCCTTCGCCGGTGGTGCCGCTCCCAGGGTGATTTGCTCCCTTGGCAGCGTCGCGAAGCGTGGGGCTTGCGGATCCGATCGAATCGCCCGTGCGCCCGGCTCGGGTCGGCCTTGCGGCATCGGTGCGGGCCTGCGGGACCGCAAGGGGGATGTTCGGACCGAGGCGGCGACTTCGGCGGACGCCGGGGACGTGCAGGGGGAGATCGTGGCGCCTTCCATCTTCAACACCCAGTGGGTGAGTGCGATCGTCGTTGTGGGTGCTGGCGCTCGTTCTTTGAAGCTGAAAGTGTTCGTCGCGATTCGGGGATCAGGTACAACCTCTGTTCAAGAACAAAGGATGTGGAAGATGGGGAAGATGGGCGCTGTTGTGCAGTGAACTGCTTGGATGCTGGGCATTGAAATGGCATTGTGTCCCTTGCGCTTTCATTGTGGGCATGGCGAGAAAACTGCATTCACCGAAATGGTGCCAGCTTCTTCTATCTGGAACTCAAGGGAAATGTGGTAAAGACCATTAGAGACAACCTGCTGCGGATAGCTGGGGCTTGCTTACTTTCAAGGGTGTGAATGTCTGAATGCTAAAGATGCCATTGTACAAACTACGAGGATGTGCAACTGCTGTCTGTTCAAGAAGAGGCAATGCAAGCCAATTTGGGCAGCTGCCATCATGTTCATTGCTGTTGATGGTGCTTAGAGGTTTGCAATATACGGTAAGTGATGAGCTCCAATTGAATTCAAACGACAGTTGGGCGCTGATCAGGAGCAATAAAATCAACCAGATCAGCCCTTGGAATGGACGTGCATCCATAAAAAACAGACAAAGAGCACATGCCCGTGCTGCACTGTGCTGGCAATTATTATTGTTAGGAAGGGAAACATTCCATAGTTGGAGCTGTGTTTCAGCACCGTGTATCAAAATTGACCGATCCTCCCAATGCAGCTGCGACACCAGGCATTTGATGCATCTCTGGTCCAGGTTCCGAGTTTGAGCATGTTTCCTCTCATACCTAGGCTGCACTGAGTACTGGCTGCCAACACACAGATTGTTGCCGTAATGAGCTTGACACTGTTCAAATCTGTTGAAGACAAGCAGGCAGATGTTGTGTCTCCGAGAATTCTATCCTAGAGTCCTGGAAATCCTGGAAATATGTGCTTAAATTGTATTTGTCACACAATGGCAAGACAGCGCTTTCTCACTGACATATATAGGTATCCCCAAATACATAACCCCCATATACTGCCCCCATGAGTGTTGCCAAATCATATATTTATGACAACAAGTGTCGCTGCTTAATGTAGACAAGAGCCCTGCCCAACAGTGTATCCAGGTTGTCAATCAAGTGAGTCCCACTTCATTTTTGCTGTGGAATCCACAACTGGAGTGTTGCATGCACAAGCTGCCACAATGGCAGAAGCACAAATAGTACCGCACTGGCAGACCAGCGCAACCTCACAACTACTATCATGTGCAGAGGACACGCTACTGCTGCCTTCAGTGCTGCAGCATACGCACAGCTGGTGCAAACCAGGGGGTCTTATTTTTGCCTCATGGATCCTGTAGGTGGCTTGATAGCCTTGTTGCTTGTGTCAGTTTCGTGCAGGTGCTCTAATCCTGGTTGTCCTGGCAGCCGCACGCTCCACTGCCTTTGTGCCCGCCACAGCGGCCAAGTTTGCCCATGTGCAGGCCTTTGGCATCTGGCTGGGGTCCAGTGTGTGGGTCACCTTCATAGGTAGAGCTGCCTCTTTTCTTTATCATGTTTTATGGTGGAGGATCTTGTGTTTTATGCTTTCTCCTTGGTGCACAAATCTGTGTTATACAATGCACTGTGTGATGCCCAGCAGTGTGTGCAGGTGCAATCCATTTGTCAGCAGGGATTCCTGTCTTCATTGTGCTCTCAAAATTAAACCAAGCGGTGTAGGCTAGTCCCTGGTTCCTGGGTGATACATGTTAGTCTATGCAAATGCAATCCAATCTACAGCTCAGCATGATTGGCAGTTGCCATCCAAGCCAGATGCTACGTTTCAATCAGTGCTTGCAGGCCTGTGCATCATCTCGACAGCCTAGGAGAGCTTGTCAGACGTTTCTGATGGGAAAGAACTATCGTGTTCAGCTGCATGCTTCCTTTTGTGTGCAGCAGCGTTGAGCTTGGTTGGCTCTGTAGCACTGTTCCAGTCAGTTAGGTAGCTAGAATGATGGCATGATCAGTAACTTGGCCTTTGATACATCATGTTATGAATGGATGCCTTTGCTGATACAGGTGGCATCACCATGTTCAAGAACATGAGGAGGCAGGACTTTGGCCGCATCCAGGCAAAACTCTTTCCAAAGTGAGGTTGGATACCCATCTGCAGCTGTGCCTGATGTGAAGGAAAAAAGATTTGAAATTGAATTCGTTTTGTCAACACTAGCAAAGTGCTGCCCCAACGCCTTCAACATGATGGAGGGCATAACTATGTCCAGGTTGTGTGCCACGGCGTGCTTGTTCATGTCTGATCAATTACAGATGCCAAAGTCCCAAAAAGAAGAGTTTAACTAGGCTTCCGCCTGGAGAATGAGCACCATGTCGTCGGGACAGATGAGACCAGCGTTTTGCTTCACACAGCTCTCCGATTGCTGTCCTCCTGGACACTGCACAGTTGTGTAACTGAACGGAAAACTCAGCATGGTTGTGGGATTGACAATAAAAATGTGGTCAATAGGTACTTCTCCCTGGCTGCTGCTGCGATCACCATCCTTCTCAACACCGTGCAGTTTGCCAGCCGCCCTTGGCTGCTGTATGCTGCCCTCGCTGCTACCCTGGGCAACTGGCTGGTCATCGAGCCCAAAGCCTCGACCATACTGATGGAACGCTACGATCTGGAGAACAGCGGAGCAGACGATGAGGCCACCAAGGACAGGATCCAGACGCTGTACAAGACCTTCAGCAAGATGCATGGCATGTCGTCGTTACTCAACCTGGTGGCATTGTGCGGGGCTGTGGGCCATGCATGGTTCTTGGCCAATGGGATGAACCTGACCATGCTTGCCCTGTAAGCTGGGGACCCTGCTGTTGTGGACTTTGGAAGGTGCGCTTACTTCGGCTTCCTTGTGGGTGGCTTTTTACTGCTGTGGAGAGCTGAGATGATCAGGAACGCTTCCCTTTGTGTGGATGCGACCATGTGATCTGGCAACATTGCTGTTGGGGCATCGAGGTGCTGATAAGATGGTGGCGGCCGCAGTGTTGCATTCTGCCAAGCAGTTATGAGTGCCATGACATTTTCTGATCCTGGATGGGCGCCGTCACACCCAGGATTCTTGTTCTTTTGCTGCGCTTTCAACAGTGCCAAGAATGTATGCTCATTGTTGTACCATGATGCAGGTTTCCTTTAACGGATGTCACGAAGAATGGATGCGCTGTCATGCGTTTCCTGCCCATGGATAGCAACAGCGTGATTGTGTGACGTCCACCGTGCAGTAAAAGAATGATTGAAGGGCAACAATCTGCAAGACATGCGTGTCCAGAGTGCTTGTCAAGAAATGTCGATAATTGTCAACACATTTCAATGATTGCCAACATCTGTCAAGGGCTGTCAGTAAGCGCAACCTACAGAATCCCCTGCAACCTTCAGGTTGATTCTTTGATTGCGCATGCCGACGGATGACAAAGAGCCGCCCTAGCACCTGGAAGCGGTGAAGCGCACAGCTCGATGCACCATGTTCGACAATTTTCCCTCAGTGAGAGTAAAGTGCGCCAATGTAGTACTTTGGCAACACATGCGCAGCGGACTGTTTGCTCTGTACGTTCCTGCGCAACATCTGCAGGGGGTTTGTGGATTCAAATGTCCTTTGTGCAGAGACAGACCAGTGCCAATGCTGTGTTGCGTTGCGTGTTTGTGTGCAACACCAGAGAGCAGGGGCGGCAACATGCTGAATTGCAGTGGGCAGCGTCAATGGCAACTGCCCTTTAACCAATGCAACTGCCCGTTTCCAGCGTAAAGACGCAGATTCCGGAAGGTGGCGCGATGCCCACCAGAGCCCACCAATGCATAATGCGGAGTCCAAACTTGTTTGCAGCACATGAAAATATCAAATGGCAGTTTCTGATGTTCGAACAGAGCAATTATCGCTGACAGCATGCATTTTGGAGGCTCCTGTTCACCTGGTGTGTGTCTTTCCTGAAACCGGCGCAGAAATGCAAACAGATCCCCTTCGTGGCCCATCGGTATGCTCCAAGGCCACAAGAACTGAGGAGTGGGAACCCACACAATTCGCAGCTCTACCCTGACGAGAATACCACGGTGGGGTGACCCCAGAACATGCGTGAAGTATTCGGAGTGGGTGTATTCGCTTCTCCGCGGAATCGACGCCCAAACTGCGCGTACAATGGCCCACGAAGTGTGTCGTGCCTGCCGTGATGGAATTCATCCAGATAGGCCAAAACCCAGTGCATCCCCGTAGACCATTACCGTGTCTCCCCTTCTCACGAGGAGTTTCTGCAGGCAAGAGACGATCGCTTCAGCATCACAAATTGTCTTTTTAACTGGAGGACGTTCTTGAACAAGCATGACACGGGAGAGATTGCTTTAAGCCCTGCATCGACTGACATTACTGTAGCTACCAATGGTTGAAGATATTGGTAGCAGTCACTGTATTGTTGCTTACGCCCCTGGCACCAGTACCGGGTGGTGCCCACTTTGTCTGAGACGGCGTTCAAGTAGGAAACATGCGGTTCGTGGGCCGCACCCCGAGAGCAAGAAATCTGAGACATGGCTCACATCCGCCATGCGAAAGATGGCCGAGGTTTGCGCAAACGTGGCAGGAATGCCAAGCGGCACTGGGCACCACGGGCAGTGGATAAGCTGGCGCCTGGTGGTGCTGCGTCTCTACCAGCATCGCACAAGAACAGGAGGGCAGCACAGGATCTCGAAAGAATTCGAAAATTGAGAAGACACTCAGAACATGACATTTGGGAGGGGTCATCTTCTCGTTCTTGAACGACTCGCCCGATTTCCGTTGCTTTGCAGCAATTGCTGCACAGGTGGTCTCCGCCATGAGCCCAAGCTCTCAAAGCAATAGGAAATCCTTGCTTTCGATTCTTGATACTGATTTCCGAGGAATGTGCCAATGTTTCTGCCAGGCAAAGAGAAGCAACTTGATGCAGACTACATCGGACAGGAGGTCCCAAAGCACGGTGACTCGTGAAGCGAGCATGGTGTGCCGCTTGTTTTCTTTTGAAAAGTTGCCGCTATCATTGGCAGAAGAAATGGCCCTGTGATGCAATACCGAAATTTCAATTTCTAGAAGTTTCTCACATTCGCCCGCTTGACTAATGAATTTTGTTTCTAGTGGCTTAAACGCCGAAAATCGTGTGTTAGCGGCTTGAGCAGCAGGGAATCTTTGTAATACGGTACCCGCACTGCAAACTTTACACACTTCTGTTGCAACTTTACCTGTGAAACTTATGGCTTATAATGTACTTTGTTGGCTTTTCGCTCAGTGGGATTGACACGTAATAGCGAACTATCCACATCGTACTTTATTTTGTCATTCCGCAGTACGCTGAAAGGTAATGTATATCAGTTTGTCCTTCCCACCTTGACGCCCCGTGGCTTTGGTGGCGCTCCCTGAATCCCGGTAGCGGCGAAGGACCCGACGTCCGGAGCACCCCCCGCTCCGCCGCAGTGAGCAAAGCCCTCCCCGCTGCTTGTGCCCTGTCCAATCCACGACACCTCCGTTCAATTCAGCTCAGGCTTATTGAGCTTTGTCAGGGCCCCTCCACCAGCAACAAATCTCGCCGGAAGTCATATGGCAATTGGAGGACGGCGCTGAGGTCACAAAGAACATGTCCAATGAAACTTTCATCTGTCCGTAAAGTCGACAATAGTGGATATGTAATTGTGTATGAAGGCCTTAATGCGTTGGCTTTCCATTGAGCAGATCATCGACACTGCCTTTCTGGGGCAAACGGTAGTCTGATGGCTTCATTCTTGCCGCGGTGTGCAACAGTTCTGTCCATTGATATCTGCCATTTGCAGACCTTTCTGTCGAAATTCCCGACCTGTCGTCATTACAACGGGGGAAATTTTCATGAGCGGCATGGCATGGTGGCAAATTAATGGCCATACTCCCCACAGACGACTGCACGCACAAAAGAGTGAGGAGTCTTTGAGGTAAGACTGCCTCCTACGCAGCCCGACGGCACTAATGATTACCAATTAGTCAACACCAATCGTTCGTGAATAATGGAGACTGGCCAAACTCGTGAGTACATCCGCAGGGGGGTGTTAGATGACCATACTCGCTGCTCAATCGAATGGCGAAAGGCAATGGAGAGAAGTACTTCTAAAAGCAGCCCAGCGCAGTACTTTTGCGGACAATTGGATTGAAGAAGCCACCATTTACGCACCACGTCCTTGCCGTCGTCGTCAAAATTGCGGGTGAGGACGCTGGACGTGGAAGCGCCGTCAGCATCGCAGTCGCCGCCGTTGCCAAGGGAAGAGCTTGCGACTCTGCCCCTCGTGACAAGGAGTTTCGGCTTTCCCCTGTCGAGCACATCTGCATCCAGAGACACATAGCTCTCGTGTTTCCTTGCAAAGAGGCATTCATTTCTTATTGAAGCACAGAAATCAATTGCCTTCCACTTGTTGCTGTCGAAACTATAGGTCCAAACACCTCATAGTCACAAACCCTTATTTAAATTGCTTCAATCAATTTTATTTCATGTTTTGTCTTCAAAATGGAAGTGATCTCGTCGCCAAGGGTGCCTGAATTGCTTTCACCGTCACGGCAATGTGCGCAAGAACACCTATGCCTCATCCGTGCCTCCACGCGGTGCTATAAAGTCCAATTTGACAAATCAATGCCATTGCCGACAATATAAACGGAGAACGTTTTCCAAATCACACCGCTTCCTCAGCTGCTATCAGTTCGCTGCGCAGCCATTGCGCGTACTTTGATTTATCAATAATTCCTGACAGATGTGACCTAACAAGTACACATACGTCGATGCGGCGTGGAAACGCAAATCTCCCGCTGGCTTGGCGAAATGGCCTGTTGCGGGGCGCATTTTACATCATGCGGCGGAACCATAGTCATGCGATTCTGGAAAATATCTTGCAAACATGTCACACATCATAACTAAACAGTCGTATGTAGTTCAATATGTTGTTCCTTTCAACGTTATATTAATAAACTGGGAATATGTCTTGCTAAAAGTGCTGCAGCTACTGCGGTCCCGTCGGTGCACCCTGCGGCACGGCAGCACCGAAATTCACACGCCGCCACATACTTTGCAAAGCATGCAAATGAACTCAGTTGAGTTCATTTTGCGCGATGCGAAAGTTGATTCATGTTGGGTGGCCCCCGTGATTCGGATATAATTCAATTTCCGTTGTATCCAGGCTCATGTGGCTGAGCCATGCCACTCACTTTCATCACACTCGAGGCTGCCGTACGACTGGGAAGTGGCAAACGCAACATTTTCCCCGCCTCCCTCTGCCGTCGCCACAACCGCGGCGCCACTCATGACGCTCGCCTCGCACTCGTTTGCGCTGGATCTCTTCAAGAGCACGATGATGGCGGTAGCAGTCCGCGCATTTGCGCTGGGCGCTGGCGGGGTGCGAACTGGCGGTGGTGGAGACGCCGGCTGGACCTTGCGGCCATTGCTGATGGGAACTGCATTTTGTGCAAGCCTTGTCAGTCGCTACATTTTCCCTTCCAGCGTAGTTATATTCTTTTGAAGTTCCACCACTGATATTCAGTTTTACCGATATTCTGTTGATTTCTTCTGATTTGGTCGTGAATATCAAAATTAGTAGCGCATTGGATTGTCAAATAGGATTCGTTGCAAAATTCAACGAGACTGTGGTCCGCTCAAGGATTGAGTGAAGCTGGTGCGTGGCTCGGCTGTCTGCATTGGTTTGCGGCAATGAAAATTCTGGGCCAATCCCTAATTTATGCTTTCAATGATTTCGAGACTCGGGACTCGTAAAATACTTGTCGTTGGCTCGCTGCCTTCCGCACTAGTGCCCTTTGTCTTGCTCAATCCCCTTTAT